TGAAACTGAATAATAAAAAAACATTAAAAAATTCGACGCTGTGTGTATTAAATCGTAATGCAACCATCTCAGAAAATATTCTTTTAGGTATAGGGGTGTTAGATGAATCGACAAAAATGTATTGGTTATCGGTTGATGGGACACGAAAGGAAAAGCGAAATACGACCGACCACCGTCCTGTGATATTCTTAAGAAATTGTGCTTATCCCTGGGACATGGTACCGATCGCTATTTTATTTGTCGCGGATTTTTCCATCGCGATTTAACGTAGGCGGTGTTTACATATACATTTGAAACCTGGGCTGACATTAAAAGCGAACACGGTGAGGAATACGTTTGGAATTCCATCCAATTAACTCCAAACATTAGACGTACCCAGTTATGCGTTGAATTTAAACTTTTTAATTATCCCGTGTCCAGAAGCTTCTTTATTGTCAGGTGGACGCTGCGTTTTCGACTTTCAACAGATTCGGATTTATGCGATGTTGTCTCCACCATCGCAACATTTCGTAAAAATTATTCAAGATTTATACACAATTTTACACACACCTCGGGACAAAAGCATGTAAATCATTTTTCATCGAACGTACGAAATCCGTTTAGTAACGAACTAGAACAGTTGCCGTGCAAGAATAGAACATAAATAACTGATATGGTTGAAACAAACTCTCAGACCCTGTGCCCACGCAAAACTGAACGTTTTCGAACTGAACGATAGAAAAATAAAACAAACCTTTAATTGAACTATAAATTTTTTATTTATTGAAAAACGAAAAAAAAATTATTAAACATTTGCATAGAAATAACCTATATAGAGAAGTTAGAAATGGCCTAATTAATAAGCAAACAATCAAAAGGATAGAAAAAATATTTTCTTTGAGAGTTAAATAGCACTAATATATTCAAAGATAAACACAACAGGTGGAAAAACGTATGCTATGTACGACCATGACCATCGATGACCAATTTAATTTTCTTGGGATAGGTTTACAAAAACTAAACACATTACATGCGCAAAACAAGATTTGAGTCAGGAAACACAGGAAAAGTGTAAAAACCAAGAAACGGATTCCCTTGCAAGGAAAGCTGATAGGCCCTGAACGCTTTTGTGGTATCCACCGATCAACGATCATCTAAGGAAAAAAATGGCGTATGTGAGGAAACGATGGAATCACTCGGTTCAAACATTTTCCGGAGAGAATTTGGAAAGAAAGAAACAGTAGAATGCATCGAAGGAAGCAGGAGAAAAACTCTTAAGATCTTAACAGGAAAGTATTTGAGGAAGATCTGTATCAACCGGTACATGCAGAAGAATGCGTTCGGAACGTCAAAATAATGAACGAGAAAAAAAAACAACCCCATCATCTTGGAGCTAGGAAAAGCTCATGTAGACTCCAAAAACGATCAAATTGGATTGGGACTAATAACGACTGACCGGAAAGTCTCAACAGCGAGATTAAGTACACCTCGGTCTTTTAAGATGAAATATATGCTATCAATGCTTGCGCCATAAAAAAATATTAAAAGAGGTTACATTAACAAAAGTCCTCATAAGGACAGTCTTTCAGCCATAAAAGCACGAGCGCGTAAAAACGTCAGATCTAAATTAGTCAGAGAATGCATCCAACACCTAGAAAAATACAACCAATATCTTGGGTGCTAGGACATAAAGGAGTTCTGGGTAATAACAAGCAGACCTGCCAGAGGATCTGCAAGACCTATCGGCAAGACTTCTCTATTTCAGAATGGCTCCACAAAAAACAAAAGAAGTGGATGAAAGGTGACACGACGAGGTGCCATACACAGCAAACGTATAGATAAAGAACCCTCACCAAAACTGGTTAATCGGTTCACTTTGACAAGGTAAAATTCAGAGGAATGATAGGATTACCAGTCAGTGGCATATGAGAAAACACGTACGCAACATGGGTATATTCAATCATAACCTATTCGTAGGCTATGCAGTAAGGAAGAAAAAGCCGTCTTCGAATGTGAAACAACCTCTCAATAGAGATATAACATAGTCCATCATTAAGACTCATGAAAAACAATTGTAGAAATTCCAGTCAATGATGTAATGGCTTCTTAAGATAAGTAATATGAACTGAACTAAGGAACAAGGACAAGTAAGACAAGACTGTAGTGCTTGGGGAGTACAAAACCGCCGCTCCCTAACTCTCCATTACCATCAACATCACCAGGCAGGTGAGTTCCTGGGGATGTCTGTCGACGCATATTATCCCAAACATTGAGATTTGACAAGGAATTTCAAATTAAAGTACACGATAAAGCAGACTGGGAGAAAGGGATCTCAGTTAATGCTGACTACATATAGTATATATATACATATATATATAGACTGAATTTGGGTAAGTAGCTGAAAATAAATGAAGGATTAATTAATAATTAATATGACGCTTGTGCAATGTATTTGAATACTGTATTTATTGAACACTGCTGGGAAGATCAGAGAACTCATGAAAGTGATACCTCCATTCCTAGGTTATTCAGTAAGGGAGAAAACACTGATAATCTGTAAGGAAAATTCATCTAGGATATCAAGAAACCCAGGGAAAAGAATTGCAGCAATGACAGTCAATTTTATACTTCTTAAGAGAAGTAGTTGATTGAAGTGAACCAAGAAACTAGAAAAAGTACAGTAAGAGAAGGCTGCAGTGTTAGATGAGTACCCCCTGTTCCAAGCATTCCATCATCATCATCATCAAACTAACATTGCAATTAGTTGAAATGGGGCTGGGACTCACAGATATGCTATAAGTGCAGAACGTGGGAGAAAACTCTCTAAAAGATTGCAGGATGTCAAATATGTTTGAATTTTTAAATCTACGTATACGTCTTCTCATTATACAGATATCGTTATTTTAGTTTAAACGTCTTCTTGTGTTTGCACGTTGGCCAAGGTGTGTCCCTCTGGTGGAATGTGGATGAAGTGTTGTAGGCAGTCTTCTTCAAGGAATTTCTGCAAGGTAACATTGACCATCGTCATGAACGACAACAACATAAGAAAACACCTACACAACAAGAGTAAATTCAATGATAACCCCATTCCTAGGCTCGGCAGTGTAAAGAAAAAATCTATTATTTGAAAGCAAACATGACCTAGGATATAAAGAAGATCCAGGGAAAAGAATTGCAACAATGACAGACAACCTAATACGTCTTAAGGGAAGGAGTTGATTGAACTGAACTAAGGAATTAGGAAAAGTACAGTAAGATCATCATCTACAGTGCTTGGATTTGAAACCTATTCCATCCTCATCATCATCAACCGTAGTTGATGTGGGGTTAGACTCACTGATATGCTGTAGGTACAGAACGTGGGACACGATAACTCTAAAAGATTGCAACATGAAAATATGCCTGAATTCTTAAATACACACTGCTGGACAACTTTAACGCACCATTTAATTTATTTAGTTTCAAATTCAATCCATTTTTCTACATTAGTTACGGATAAGTAGGAGCTATCGTAGTCAAAATAAACGGTAAATAATGCATAGCTTATATTGATTAAAACCATACGCACAAAAAGTAGCATTACGCCCTTCCTTTCTGCTATACTAAAGAGCACTTTCAGATAATCTATTTCCTTCGTTGATTTCATTTGACATTATGCTTATTCATAAAGCTTTTTCAACGGCTCCAGTCAGGCATTTGATTATGCAATGTCAGGGTCATACCGCCATTAGAGAAAGTATCCAGCCAGCGCGAAGTCGCCAGTAGACTGAGTGTAAATCTCTCTACAACAAGAAGGGTTCTTCGGCTCCTCAGAGAAACAGGGCTTCACACAAGAAGGCCAGGAAAGGGTCGACCTAAGTCTAAAGACTCAGAATAGATTCATCCGTCATCAGACTCTATGAAACCGCAGACGGGAAATGATATCTCATCTGACAATACAAGTTCGAAATATTTCGATTTCTTCTAGGACTGTAAGAAGACTTAATGAAAATAACCTCAGGACCCGGCAATCGGCTTGCGGACCCAAGGCCCGGCATCCGGCATATGGACCTCTTCTTACCACAGCTCAGAAAACAGCCAGGCTTGAATTCGCACGTGAATTGACATTTGAAGATTGGGAACGAGTTCTCTTTACGGTTGAGGTGAGATTTGTCCTCAAAGCTTAGCGTAATTCCTTATGGAGACAGATCCCAGAGAAAAGAACTGCAGCAGTTCTATCATAAACTTCTTAAAAGGAGGAGTTGGTTGTGCTGAACTAATGAACTAGCAAAAGAAGCAAAGGCTGCAGTGTTTGAGGAGTACGAAACCCCCAGTTCCTAGCAGTCCATCATCATCATCAACCGTAATTGCAGTAGCATTAGGACTCACAGATATGCACAGGACACCATAACTCTCTAAAGATGGCAGTAAGCCAAATCTGCCTGAATTTTGGAATCTTCTCATTATTGTTATTTTAGTTTAAACGTCTTCTTGTGTTTGTACGTTGGCCAAGGTAAGTATTCTCAGTTGGATTGTGGAATAGGTGTTATCGTCGTTATTCCTTAAAGATTTGCTGAAAAACTACTGTCGCATGTTGGAACAAGCTTTATCTAATCGCATGAACTATTGCGGACAGGTTAAATAATTTAAAAGATCTCGAGCAGATCTCGTACACAGTATGTTAATAAGTGATGTACAAGAAATATGAACCGTTTTTCCCGAGTTGAAGTAGAATGCGGATACTTTGAAAATTCATTTCGAGCGACTGGCTGGAACGAGTGGTACGTGGGCGTCGGGGACGTCGATCTCGACGATAGCGAGTCCTCGTCTCGGGAACACCGTCGCGCCTGGATTTTCTTCACCTTCGCTTTTCCCGAGCACAAATGCCGATGTAGCGCGCTCCCGAGGGGCGCACTTAAGATGGGACCCACCGCGGTATCAAAATGTACAGGCGGGATAAAAAAAAAGAGTGAAAACGGCCATAAGGTAAGAAAAAGAGAGGGGAAGTAGGGATATGGTGGCCAGGAGCTTTTAGAGAGGGAGTGAGCAGCCATCTTGTCCAACTCTTCACAGTTAACTTACTCGACTGAGCGCGGGCCACCGCTTCCCATCCTCTTTAAACCTCTCCAGTCTGGTTAAACTCGTTTTTCACGTTGTAACCCCTAGTTACCCTCGGATCTGTGCCCCCCTTCCAATGTCAACAAACCGGAAACTGTGAGTGAGTAAACAGCTAATGTTTATAGTGTATTTTTAGTTAGTTCGACTTTTGTCTTGTGCCACACTTTTAATTCTTTCGACTAAATTCAAACGCTCCACCGGGCCGAAGATCGTCCAGATATTCTTCGGCAGTGAAAACTTAACGACCGGCGGCCGACGCCAACCAGCCTCCGCCACCTCTTGCTCTACTTACGCCTCCTTCACTTTTTTTTTGCCTTCTGTTTAATTCTTAACCGGAGGATTAAGACATCCCTCAATTATTGACTCTGTTGGTTGAGGCTGTCCGATCCTCGTTATCAAACTCTAAATTCACCTGTATTTGTATTCTTCCATTCTAAATTACACGAATAAAGAAATAATTTAACGCTTCATTTACCAAAATGTTTATTTCTTATAATGCGTTTTGCATAATTAAAAGGCGATAATGTTTGAAATCCACTATTGCTCAGAATGTCTTTTCAATTTTAGCCGAGCATCAAATGATATTTGATATTCAAAAACTTTACATTCTAACATTTATTTTTAATGGAAAAAACCAGTGCTTGCTAAATAATTATTTTCACTTTCAAGCAATGCACAGATTGTTTTTGTTTTGAAGTTCCATAAGAGATGGCGATCTGAATCGGTGTCTGGCTAAAATAGACCTAGGAAATCCTCCGCCTATTCGTTTTTTTACTTTTGCACTTACGATAACCGGCAAAAAAAAACTCCTTCTGGACTGTCTATTTATAAACTTTGCGTTATAGCATCGCGCTTGATGTAAACAATGGAAAGCTTGACGTACTTCTCGCGCCCCGTCTTCGAGCCTGGCGGATTAATTTGACGGATTTTTCCGGATAAACGCAAAATCAAGCCGCGAATTTATTCTTGCCGCCGCATCCGGCGAACTGTGAATTCCAGGAATGGTCCGACGGAGAGTGGGGAGAGGCGAGCTTTTTTTTTCTTCTTCTTCTTCTCTTGAATAACAAGCGTGAGCGCGCGATTCCATCGGTAAAAATGCGACTTTGGGCCCGGCCCGACGACGCGCTTTGAGCTTTTCCTCAACGCGGATCGAGGGCTTTTAACGAGAAAGGCGCGAACACGAGCAAGAACCAAAACGTGGACGATTAAAGCACCCACCCATGATCTCTTCGGCTCCTTTTGCGCCTCGAAAGAACAACAATTTGATCCGATTCAATTTTAAAATTCCCTCCATTTTCAAACCGATGATATTAGAAATAACAGAATAACCATCAAGCATTGGCGCCTGTTAAGTATGTCTGTGCTGACCACCTGTTAAAGTCACTTAGAAATAATAGCTAATTCCTAGCAGATACTAGAAATACGAAATGTTTCCAGAGTAATTTATGTGCTGGGGGTCAGTTAGAAGTGAGACCCACGCCTTTCTCTATAAGTCTTGTGCAAAAAAAAAAAAAAATTAACTCGTGTACTACAGTATTTGTTCAACGCGCTACTTTCTAAAAAGCTAAAAGCTGCAAGGGCAAATGTGATAAACTTCATCCTTAGAGAATTATGAATTCCTTTTTTTATTTACAGAGAACATTCCTTAAAAATAATTTGTGGTATATTTCTTCTATAGTTTTATTATATAATAAATTCTAATTAAAAAAAAACGTAAAGAAGCTCCTATGCTTAAAGCACCTTCCTTGCATTCCTAGTTACAAAAAGCTTTGAACTATGGAATGATAAGATCGATAGTTAAATAATTGCTTAAAAACTGACTATGTTCAACTTTATATATATGAATCCATTATATGTAGTGGTCTATTGACCAAATTACTTCTTTCAATTAATTAATCTTTTTATGTAAGGTTTTGGTTGAAATGAAAAAGCTAGTGCCACGAGCGGGATTCGAACCCACGACCTTCGACTCAATACACCGGTGCTCTAACCCCTGAGCTATCGTGACTTCCATCCACTCGGATACCAACTTCCCATCAACCTACAACCTTTCGAATTTTCCCTCCTTTTTGCCATTTTTCAAACGTCCTGTAATAAGGATTTCATTTCCATTAAATAGACCACTAAATACAATGGATTTAATAGGTAAAACGAAGTATAACTTCACTAACAGCTTCCCGTGGCCATTTCATTTGTCGCTGAGAATCGAATCCTGATTACACGACATTTGAAAAATGGCAAGAAGGAGGGAAAATTCGAAAGGTTGTAGGTTGAGATAGGAAGTTGGTGTCTGAGTGGATCGAAGGCACAATAGCTCAAGTAGTAGTGAGCCGAAGGACGTTGGTTCGAATCCCGCTCGTGACACCGACTTTTTCATTTCAACCAAAACCTTACATAAAACATTAATTTATACATATGTCTTAAATCAATTGTAACTCACGCATTAAAAAAAAGAAAGAGGAAAAAGTGGCGTATTGTTTATAAGAACCGCGTATTAAATGCGTACACATTTTCCGTTGTCTTTATACCTGTGATAAATCATAATTATACGATAACATGATTAGGTCGGTTTAATTGCCTCCCGACCCGGCCGGACTTTCATAGAAAAAATCAAAAACTTCTAGTCTAGTGAAAGGGCTTTGGGAGGCTTTAAGTGTACACGCCGAATCTCGTTGACGTTTATAAGCAATTAAGCTTTAATGGGGCGAGATTGAAAATCTCAGACGAAACCCGTTTGACGGAAGAACGACGAAGAAACACTGCGAGGATAAGCGGACCATCATGGCCAGGGACGATCAAACAACTGTTTAACACCCATATTTATACATTTTTAGCATGATTTTTGTCTTTTCCCCGTTGTCGCCTGTGGCGTAATGAACTTAGTAGTCTATCAGACCAAAACGGTGACGATAAGAAGACCAAAATAGTCTAAAACGACACAACAATAAAATAAACTCTATGTTCTTCGTTTTTTAAAAATAATTATGCAAATTATCTCTTTACTCATCTTGTGGGCCGATTTGAGCTTATACAAATCCAAATCCAAAATACAATCCTTTTATTGATTGATTTATAGACATTGCATTTTCAACATGCATATATGTACAGAATTGAGCTTAGGTCTTCCGACGAACTTGACATTCCCGAACGCTCCTTGGGCAACAGGTCATTTCAGCCCCACGCACGCTGAACGCACTTAAACGTATTCACGCAATTACGTAGTGGAGTACTCAATATTACACCATCGACACACTAAGCCTTCGCGCTAATAAATGCATTCAACCTAATAATCCAAACAAGATATCTCAACTGTATACAATAAAACAGCCCTGTTTTGACCAAAAATCCAAATAAAACAATAAAAAGAACAATATAGAGTGGTACAACATGCTCTCTATATGGAGCCAAGGGGTATTCTTAACCGGGTCTTAACATAAAAAAATTAGGAGATGGTTTAAAAGATAGGCCTATAGAGTAAAATTCCTGAATTTGAGGTTTTTAAATATAAAATAATTGGGAAAAGTAAGTAAAATTAAGATTTATATGAAATAAAATATAAAAATAAAGGATTCTATGTTCTATGTTTGAGAAATTGTGGTTTTTAAGAACTCTTATTATTTTATAGTAAAAAGAAGAATCATATGTTTTTATAGATTTTCCCAGTCATATTAATAAATATCAAATTAATATTTTTTAAATTTCAAATTAACCATTTTTAACTTCAAAAGATTTTTTTAAAATTAACCATTATTAATATAAAATTAAACTTATGATTTACATGAAAAGGTTTAGAATTGGTTTAAAATATAAGCATATAAATTATAATTGCTGTATATATATTTGAGATTCTTTGACCTAAAAAAATAGGGTAAAGTAAGTAAAATTAAAAACTATATAAAATAAAACATAAATATAAAGGATTCTTTTTTTCAATTTGAGAAATGTGAGAAATTGTGGTTTTTAAAAATCAATTTTATATTTTTAAAAAATCGAATTAAAAGAATTATTTGTTTTTGTAGATTTTCCCGTCAAATTAACCATTTTTAACATCAAATGAAATTTTCTTAATTAACCATTTTGAATATAAAATTAAACATCATTTAAGCATTAAAAAATTTAGGAGATGGTTTAAAATATAAGCGTATAAAGTATAATTTCTGTATATATATTTGAGATTCTTTGACCTAAATAATTGGGTAAAATAAGTAAAATTAAAAACTATATAAAATAAAATGTAAATATAAAGAATTCTTTTTTTCAATTTGAGAAATGTGAGAAATTGTGGTTTTTAAGAAAAAAAATTTCTACTTGCTTACATTTTGAACCTTCTCCTAGGGATTTTCACAACGCTTAATTTAAAATTAAACGGGGCAAATTTGACGTGAAAGAGCTTTGGTTCCCCGCCACATGAATATTTTAAAAATGAAAACGTTATTAGAATAAACACTATTCCGTCTAATTATCAGAGACCTTGGAGCAATTTTAGAGAGATATACCAAGAATAGTAAGTTTTTTTGGGGTCAAGTTCGTCTAGATAAACGGTTTTTTGAATTGCCCACTTATTAACTCGAAGAAAGCTTGGAAAATACAATAAGTCAAAATGAATAAAACCACTTCGTCTATAATTTATAAATTATCTTTCGACCTTTCGTTCTAGAGATTTTCACACTCCAGAAGCTTCATAATTCAGCTACAAGCCATCTAATAGGATTTCGAAAACAGGTTGAAGGAGATTAGGCTCGGAAGGGAATATTACGATTACACGTCGAGGTTAATAATAAAACTATTGTATTCCAGAATGACATGTTACGGATTATAAAAATTGGCAAACCCTGTTTTTTTTTTTTTTTTAATTTCATTCTGTTAGCAATTATAATAAATCGGACGCCGAGGCTGAAAGCAATCGGCCTTTTTGATCTGGAAACAATTGAGAAGTGTGAAAGGAGAAGTTCAGTAACATTCTGTTAAAATAAATAAATGAAACTGGTGGGAGAGGTCGGTGTCCACTGGGCGCGCCCTCCTTTCTTGGCGTTGCAGTCTCCATCGTACGCGTTCAACTCTGTCCACATGTTTTCAGAATTGTACGTACAAATAGAATGA